GCCGACGCCGACGCCGACGCCGACGCAGACCCCGACGCCGACGCCGACGCCGGACGACGACGACGACGACCACGATGACGCCGACGTCGACGCCGGCGCCGACGCCGACGGAGACGGCGACGGCGACGACGTCGATGACGACGACGACGCCGACGACGCCGACGCCGACGCCGACGCCGACGCCGACGCCGACCCCGACGACGACGACGACGACGACGACGACGGCGATGACGAAACGACGAGACGCCGACGCGCGACGCCGACGGCGGCGCCGGCGCCGACGACGCCGACGCCGACGCCGAGCGACGGGGACGGACAACGACAACGCGACGCTGACGCCGACGCTGACGCGCCTCCAACGCCGACGTTGACGCGGACGCCGACGCCGACGGATACGGCGACGCGACACTACGACGAACGACGACGACGACGACGACGACGCGCCGACGCCGCACCGACGCCGACGCCGCCCGGGGACGCCGACGCCGACGCCAACGCCGACGCCGCCGCAGACGCGAGCGACACGCCGACGCCGACGACTGACGCGACGCCGGCGACGCCGACAGCCGACGCTGACGCCGACGACGACGCCGACGCCGACGCCGACGCCGACGCCGACGACGGCGGCGACGACGATGACGCCGACGCCGTCGCCGAAGCCGACGCCGACGCCGACGCTGACGCCGACGCCGACGCCGACGCCAGCGCCGACGACGGCGGCGACGACGACGACGCCGACGCCGTCGCCGAAGCCGACGCCGACGCCGACGCTGACGCCGACGACGACACTGACGCCGAGGACGCCGACGCCGACGCCGACGCCGACGCCAACGCCGACAACGACGACGATGACGACGACGACGCCGACTGAAGAACGACGACGACGACGACGACGACGACGACGACGACGACGACGACAACGACAACGATGACGACGACGTCGTCGACGACGACTACGACGACGAGCGCGGCGAGGTGCACAGCGACCACGACGAGGGCCCGCACTCGCCCGGGCCTGCAGGGGGAGTGAGGGTGCGAAGGCGGAAGAGGAGGAGGAGGAAGAGGAGGAGGAGGAGGAGGAAGAGGAGGAGGAGGAGGAGAAGGAGGAGGAGGGGGAGCAGGAGGCGGCTCCTTACTTCGCGATCGAGGAGCAGGGTCACCCCAATTCGAGCCACCACGCCGCCGCCCTGCGGGGGAGGGCGTCTCTCCAGCCACAGCCACGATGCGCGGAGCGGGAGTGAGGAAGGAACACTTTGCCTCCTCCCTCGTAGTTTCCCCCCCTCCTCTCATTGGTGTCCTCCTTCCTGGGACGGAGGGGTGGAAGGAACTAGGTGGATTCGTATGCTTCTGTCTCCTGGGGGAGATTCTCGCCTGGACCCTCGCTCCTCTTCCTCCTCGCTCCTCTCTTCCTCTCCCGTCTCCTGCGGAAGATTGGCTCCTCGTTCCTCGATCGAGGTTTTTAGAGTAACTCTGATGGGGCCCTTTTCGGGGCCTCTTGAAGCGCCCTAGCGGGCCACGTCTTGAACCGCCTCGCAATTTGGACCAGCACGCGGCCCTCAGGAGGTCCGAGGGGTCGATTCCCGACCCCAAGGCTCCTGGAGGCGATGCGAGGCGAGGTGATCTCAGGCGGCAGCCCCTGGCAGGCGCGAATGAGGACGAGGAGGAGGAAAGGAAGAAAAACATTATTTTCTCCAACCTCCTCATCCTCCTCCTCCTCCTCCTCCTCCTCCTCCTCCTCCTCCTCAATCGTCCTCCTGACTCCTCGTCCACCCCCTTTCCTCCTCCTCCTCCTCCTCCTCCTCCTCCTCCTCCTCCTCCTCATTCGCCTCCTCCGCGAGGCCGCCGGAGGGGTAGCCGAGGTGAGGGGATCTCAGATGGCAGCTCCTGGAAGCGCTCCGTGGCACGACGATTGGCCATTTTGCTAGATGGGGGAGGAGCGACGCCGAACCCATGGAGCAGACGCCTACTCTGCTCTCCTCTCCCCTCATGCCCAAACAAGTTCCTGGACTTGTCCCGCTCCAGGGATGGGGGCCGCTGGGCCTCCCTGGATCCTCCGAGGACATTCTAGAAGTCTCCACAGAGATCTGGACGACGAAGGGCGACGAGAAGGGCGGCGAGAAGAACAGGGGGGCGACGAGGACGACGAAGGGGAAGCCTTTTTCGTTGCTGTGTAAGTGTTGGTTGATGGCGCGGCCAGTGCAGGACGGAGAACGACGACGATCACGACGACGGCGGACGAGGAGGAGCCGACGGGGGAGAAGATGATGCAACGAGGCTTTGGGGCAGCATGCGTATATCTTTAAAAGAAGAGCAGCCAGTGGTGCGGCTAGTCGAGAGATGTGTTGCGTCCCCATGTGAAGCACAGAAGTAGCCAAGTCTGACGACGACTCTGCCAGGTAGTAGTATCGGAGAGGTCTTCGGAAACCATGTGGGCATGGGGAACCCGTACACACTACACCATCGGCGAGTTCTGCAAAAATGCGCCGGGCATCCATGCACGAGGTATAACGCAGCTGCGGGGCGGCCATGAAGAGACTCGGACGATTCGACGCAATGAGCTGGCAACTTACGAGACACTGCAACGTGCAACGCACCTCCTCCGTACCGCTTGTCTCTCGGCCTCCGGAACTCCAAGAAGCCGAGATGCCGATGGGCAGGCCGCAGACGAGCGAGGAACAAGAGCGGCACGGAGCGACAGGCGAGGAGACGGGAGGCGGAGGAGAGCACCCCCGGGCCCCGACGGCACCGCCGCGGGGCCTCCAGCACCCCCTCGGCCGCCGATGCCGCCGCGCAGCCACCGCCGCCTGGCCCGCCGCACGCCGCCGCGCACATCGCGGCGGCCTCCGCCCCGCCGGCGGGCGGGCCGCCGCCGGCGGCCGCGCGGCGGCCGAGTGCTGGCCGCCAGCGCCTGGCGGCGGTGCCGCCGGGCGCGCAGGCGTGCCCGCAGCCGCGGCCGCCGCCAGGCGCTGCCCGACGTCCAGCGGCGGCTCCGCCGCCTGCTGCTGCTGATGCTGCTTCCTCCGCCCCCAGTGTCCCTTTCCTGCCCTCCTCTTTTGGTGCTCCACCCCCCCTCACTCCTCCTCCTTCTCCTCTCCTCCTCCTTCCTCTCCCCCCTCCTCCTCCTCCTGCTCCTGATTGTCCTCCTCCTCATCATCATCCTCCTGCTCCCCCGCCTATTCCTACCGCCTCCTACTCCTCCCACCTCCTTCCTGACGCTCCTCCCGCTGCCCCCTCCTCCTTCCTTCAACTCTTCCCATCTTCGATAACCTCATCATCACGCCCCTTCTAAGCTACAGCAGCAACCGCAACAGCAACAGCCTGCCCCCATTATCCTTCCTTCATCCCCCCTTGCCATCCGCAGTGTCCCCCTTCCCCCCTTCCTGTTCCTTACCCTCCTAGCTCTCTCGTCTCCCCCGTTCCCGTGCTGGTCGTACACCTGGGCCTACGCCTTCCCATCCCTCGTCCCTCCCCATCGCCTCGTTCCCCTTCTCCCGCCCTCCTCCTCTCTTCCTCCTCCTTCTTCTCCTACCCCTCCTCTTCCTCCTCCTCCTCCTTCTTCTACCCCTCCTCCCCTCCTCCTCCTCCCCTCCTCCTCCTCCTCCTCCTTCTTCTCCCCTTCTTCCACCCCTTCCTTCCTCCTCCTCCTCCTCCTCCTCCTCCTCCCCTCCCCTCCCTCTCCTCCTCCTCCTCCTCCTCCTTCTCCTCCTCCTCCTCCTCCTCCTCCTCCTCCTCCTCCTCCTCCTCCTCCGCCTCCTCGCTGCCTCCGCGGCGAGCGCCGCACCGCGCGGCTCCGCCCACGGTGGGGGCTCTGGGGGCGGCGGCCACGGGGGCGGCATCCCAGGCCAGGACGGCTGCGTGCGGAGGTGGCCCCGTCGTGGACGCCGTCGCCATCGTCTTCGGAGGGGAGAAGTGGGAAGAGGAAGGGAACGAAGGTGGATGAAGGGGAGAAGGACGATGATGATGATTATGATGATGACGACGATGATGCTGCTGCTGCTGATGATGATGATGCTGATAATGATGATGATGGTATTGATGATCATGCGGATGATGATGATGATGATGATGATGATGATGATGATGATGATGATGATGAAGCGGATGATGAAGATGATGATGGTGGTGGTGGTGATGGTGATGCTGATGGCGGTGATGATGACGATGACGAGGAGTATGGCGAAGGTCCTGATGATGATGGTGATGATGGTGATGGTGATGATGATCATGGTGCGGGCGATGGTGATGATGCTGATGCTGATAGTGGTGATGATGATGCTGATGATGATGATGATGACGACGATGATGATGCTGATGATGAGGAGGAGGAAGAGGAGGATGGTGATGGTGATGGTGATGGTGATGGTGATGGTGATGGTGATGGTGATGGTGATGATGATGATGATAATTATGATGACGATGACGATGACGATGACGATGATGATGATGATGATGATGATGATGATGATGATGATGATGATGATGATGATGATGATGATGATGATGATGGAGGGGAGGTGAGGAAGAGGAGGAGGAAGTGAGGAAGTCGCGGAGGAAGATCACGGGTGGGCGGGAGGAGGAGGAGGAGAAAGGAGGAGGACAGAGGCTGGGGAGGACAAGAGCGAGGGAGAAGGTAGTGAGGGAGAAATGAGATGGGAGAACAGGGACGAGAAGGAAGAACGCGAAAGGGCGAGGGAGGAGGTGGGAGTAGGTCGGTGCACGATGAGGGGGAGGAGCACGAGGAGGCGGAGAAGGAGGAATAATCGTATGATCCGACAAGCAGAAGGAGCAGGACGGCCAGCCAGCGCGCGCGGAAATCGCCTACACGCGAGAGTGTCCCTGGGCAGGAGTGACCTTTGGAGCGCGGCTCAGGGGCCGCGGGGGGGTCAGAAGCAAACGCGCCGGCCAGCGCTGGGGAGACCCCTGCGGGCTCGCACCAAAGATCACTGTGGCGAATGGGTCACTCCCACGTGCAGCCGAGGAAGGCGAGCGGGGAAGAGCGCCTGCAGCCGGCCCGGGAGCTGCAGGGGGCCAGGCCGAGGCGCAAGAGGGCTGGGGCCACGGCAGCGCGGCGCGTGCACGCTGGCCCTGCTCGGCGCCTGAGTTGCCGCCGCTGGGCTGCGGCCTTCCTCTCCAGGTACTGCGCGGGAAGAGTCGCAATTGTTTGGGGGATCGGCATGAGAGGAGAGACACACACACAACGAAGTAAACCGAGAGAGAAAGAGAGGGAGTGAGAGAGGGAGACATACGAAATAAGCATACCATACTCAATTGCACACAATTTGTGCGTGTGTGTTGGCAACTTGTTTGAGATACACAAACGACAACACAATTACATGCGTACCTACGCAGTGTGCATGTATATACACACTAGAACCATCGCGCGCTTCGCGCACGCTCAAGTTCTAGTCGATCCCCCCGCCCATGGACTATCGGGGTCCAGTCGCGTCCTCTTCGTTTCTCGAGCTGCCTCGGGGCTGTCTTGCAGGCTTCTTCGGGCACTTTGGCCTCAGGATTCGCACGGGCACCTCAGCCTTGGAATCTGGGGGAACACCTCGACCTCGGAATTTCCATGGATACCCAAATCAAAAAATTACATTGGCACTGCGGCGGCACGGAAGGCGCAGGGCGGAGGTGAGGAAGCAGAAGGCCCTGCTCCTCCCTGTCCCCTTCCTCCGCCCCTTTCTCTTTCTCGTCCGTCGCCCTCCTCCTCCTCCTCCTCCTCCTCCTCTCCTCCTCCCTCCTCCTCCTCCTCCTCCTCCTCCTCCTCTTCCTCCTCCCACCAGATCTGGCGGATCTGGAGTCATGATGCATTACATGGAGTGATACAAAAGCAGTTCTTCATGCAGGCGCTCCAGATGGCGTGTTGAGTGCGGTAGGCCGGTGGCGGAGGTGTGCTGATGGAGGGCGTGCGACGTTGACAATGCACCCTCCGAGCCGTTCGGCAACCGCTGGAAACGGCTCTCCTCCCACCTCCTCCTCCTCCTCCTCCTCCTCCTCCTCCCCGTACTCCTCCCCGTACACCTCCCAGTACTCCTCCCCGTCCTGCTCCTCCTCCTCCTCCTCCTCGGCTTCCTCCTCCTTCTCATCTTCATCCTCATCCTCATCCTCATCATCATCACCATCATCATCGTTGTCGTCACCTCATCATCATCATCATCAGCAGCAGCATCCTCCTCCTTACCAGCATCATCATCATCATCGTCGTCACCATCATCATCAGCAGCAACATCCTCCTCCTCATCATCATCGTCATCGTCATCGTCATCGTCATCATCATCATCAGCATCAGCATCAGCATCATCATCATCATCATCATCATCAGCAGCATCATCGTCGTCGTCATTACCATCCCTCCCGTCGACAAGGTTTGATGCTCTTGGGGCCCTGCCTCAAAAGCTTTCGATTACAGGCCTCCCGGGGCGTGTTGGAGTCTATCGGTGCCTCTTGGGTGAGCCATCTGTGATTCCGAAGGCGCCTTGGCGGGCTTTCGGGGGTCACGGTCAGGAATCGTAAGTACCATTTTGAAGAAAGGGTCCGAACGCCTCCTCGGGGGCATTTGAGAGGCACGTTTGAAACCTCGTGGGCCTCTTGAGAAGCCTGTTGTCCTCCCTGTTCCACCTCATGGGGGCCTCTTGGGGGCCTCTTAGTGGGGGTCCTGAGGGCCTCTTGTGGGCCTCTCGTGGGCCTCGTGGGAGCCTGGCGGCGGCCTCGGGGACCTTCTGGGGCCGGGGGGCTCCAAACGTGAGCTGGAGCTTGCCCTCTCGAGCCCCTCTCGGGGCCCTTTCGGGGGGCCGTCTTGGGCGGTTCTTGGGCCGTCTCTGGATCCTGCCGTCTTGTGGCCCTCTGGGGGTTGACTGGGCCGTCTTATGGCGGTCTAGAGGGGGCCTCTTCGGATTTGTGTCGCTGCTGTGAAGGCCCTGGAAGCGAATCTACTGAGCATGCGCGTGTTTCCCGAAGGGATGGGAAGATGTTTGCCCCTCGGGGCTCTCTTGGGCGTCGCCCTGGAGCGCAACCGGGGCGTCTTCGAAGCTTCTGGCGCCGTTCGAGATGGCTCTTGAGCCGGCTAACACATCGGGCGACACGGGGCCCTTTCGAGCCGCATTTCGTGACGATGGTCTGAGCGCTGTGGAAGCGGACTTGGAGCCCCCAGAATCCCATCTGCGGCATATTAGTCGCGACCCCGGTGCCCCCGTGCCTACTACCCTCGTCAAAATTAACCTCAACAGTTGCTGGCACGTCATTTCGATTTCGGCGCGCCCCTCAATGTCGACACGCCGCCCCTTCAATGTCGGGGCGAGGGCAAAGATAGTCTGACCGAAGTTGACTCGAGAGTTTGACGTCGACCGACATCGGAGGGGCGGCGCATGCAAGTACCCCGCACTCATCGATATTCGGCCCCAGATCTTCTGACAAGCAGTTCAACCACGTCAGACATTTTTGAGGTTAATTTTGACGAGGGTTGTAGTCCCCCCTTGTGATTATAGATCTATATATCTATATATCTATATATATATATATATATATCTATCTATCTATCTATCTATCTATCTATCTATCTATCTATCTATCTATCTATCTATCTATACACAGGTTCTGATTCATGTATTTTTACAGGGCCGGGGAGCCCCCCTCACCAAACATATTGCGACCACCCTGGGCGCCCAATACGGCTCCAGAGAAATCCAACACGGTTCCAAGACGGCCCAAGAGCGTTCCAAGACGGCCGCAAATGGCGCCACTACAGATCAAGAGACCCCCAAAACATCCAAAATCGCTCCCAAGTAGCTCCAAGACGGTCCAAGAGCCCCCCCAAGACGCCCCGAAGTGCCCCAAGAAAACGTCAACAAAAACCCAAACCGGTCCATTCCTAGAGTAAAACGTGCATTTTTAGCCCTACTCGTTTTTTTCTAAAGCTCCAGAACGGTTCAAGGAGCCTCCCAAATCGCCCCAAATCGGATCCAGTGGCCCCCCCAGAGCCCCAAGAGGGCCCCAAGACAGCCCCAGAGAGCCCCATGACGGCCCAAGATAGCCCCGAGACGGCCCAAAAGAGCCCCAAAGACGGCCCCAGAGGCTCCCAGGAAAGCCACAAGACATCCCCTGGAAGCCCCCAGCAGAGCCCCACGACGGCAAGAGCCCCCCGAGACAGCCCACAAAAGCCCCAAAACAGCCCCCAAAGCCCCGCATCGGTCCAGAAGGGCTCTAAGAAAACCCCGAAGCGCCCAATAACAAGAACTCGCCTCCCACTCCGTTCGTGTCTACACATGCGACAGGCTCAATTATTTGCATGGGGTTGCGTCTTGATTTCCAATCACACGGATGGTTTTGCATCCTTACCATGCACAAGCTCACAGATGCATGATGTTTGACTCGGGTATCCAGCTAGCGATGCCGTCTGAATATTCACTCGGAAGATGAGACGTCGCTCTATATTTGCAACTTGCCATGCCTATGACATTGCCTTCGGACAAACAAACTTCACGCACCTTGCACAGCATGCATTTGAAGGCGGGGCTCAGGACTGCGCCCATGGAAGCGCTGAAGGATTCAAAAAAAGCTTCCAGCATAACCCAACAAGAACTCAGAGACCACCAGAAGCCCCAAAACGCTCTCGCGATATTCCCCGAAAGCCGTTCAAGGAGGAGGCCACGCAACAACATGTGAACGTGTAACAGGGACGCATTCGCAAACGACGGAAAAAAAAAACATGAAGAAACATGAGGGACGGGTGACACAGAACATCTGTGTAACAAGGCCGAATGGCAACATGGAGCCCTCGTCCTGCTGGATATGTGTTTGTGCATCACTCTCTCTCTCTCTCTCTCTCTCCCGCTCTCTCTCTCTCTCTCTCTCACCCGCGCCCCGCTTGCCGCCTGCGCGCCGATCCTGCCATGCAGTCTTGGACAGGTCTACATATATACATACACACATACATATATATATATACACATACATATACATATATATATATATATACATACATACATATACATATATATATATATATATATATATCGGGGGTGAAGGGGTGAGATCGAAGCGGAACGGAGAGCCCCCCTGCCCGGAAATCGATTTCGGTTTCGTGTTCGTGCGTGCCGCGCGTGCGGGCGAGGCGAAGCTGCGTGGGCGGGCGAGAAAAAAGTCTCCTCCGGCTGAGGCGCGGCCGGACCAAATGACTCCCTTCTGGGGGACGGTGGCCCGCGGTAGCCCGCCGGTATCCCGCCCACTGTGCCTGAGGCGCGGCCGGACCAAATGACTCCCTTTCGGCGTCAGGTGGCCCGCGGTGTCCCGCCGGTGTCCCGCCGGTTTCCCGTCGGTGTCCCGATGATGACGGTGATGATGATGATGATGATGACGACGATGATAATGATGGTGATGATGATGCCGATGATGATGATGATGATGTCCCGATGATGATGGTGATGGTGATGGCGGTGATGATGATGGTGCCCCGATGATGGTGATGATGATGTTGACGATGTTGATGATGATGATGATGATGGTGATGGTGGTGATGCTGATGGTGCCACGATGATGATGATGTTGTTGATGATGATGGTATCATAATGATGATGGCGTTGATGGTCATGATGAAATTGATGATGGTGATATGATGATGCGATGATGATGATGAATATAATAAGGATGAGGGTGCCCCGATGATGATGTTGTTAATGATGATGGCGATGCTGGTGTCCCGATGATGATGATGTTGATGATGGCGATGATGATGAGGTGATGATGATGTTGATTGTTATGATGGTGTCCCAATGATGACGGTAATGATGATGGTGCTGTTGATGATGATGGTGATGATATGATGATGATGATGGTGTCCCGATGATGATGATGATGATGATGATGTTGATGACGTTGATGACGACGTTGTTGATGATGATGATGACGTTGGTTGTGAGATCGGTTGTGATATCGATCGTGCAATCGATCGTGAAAACGAATGTGAGATCGATTGTGAGATCGATAGTGGGATCGAAAGAAGGATCGGTTGAGAGATCGATCGTCAGATCCTTTGCGAGATCGATCACATGGAATAGATCGACTGATATCGATTGTGAAATCGATCGAGTGAGATCGATCGAACGAGACCGACAGTGATATCCAAAGTGAAATCGACAATGAGACCGATCCAGTGAGACGTTGGTTCCTCCCCCCCCCCAAACCTCCTCATCACCCGAAGGGTGGTCGTGTAGGTAAATATCGGAGTTGAGGGGGTGAGATCGAACTGGGACGAAGAGCCCCCTTACCGGGAAATCGGTTTCGGTTTCGTGTTCGTGCGTGCCGCGCGTGCGGAGGCGAAGTTGCGTGGGCGGGCGAAAAGAAAGTCTCCTCCGGCTGAGGCGCGGCCGGACCAAATGACTCCCTTCCGGCGTCCGGTGGCCCGCGGTGTCCCGCCGGTGTCCCGCCGGTGTCCCGTCGGTGTCCCGATGATAGTGATGATGGTGACGATGATGATGACGATGATGATGATGATGATGATGAGCTGATGATGTTGATTATGATGATGATGATGGTGGTGATGATGATGGCGTCCCGATGATGATGGTGTTGGCGATGGTGATGATGATAATGATGGTGATGATGATGGTGATGGTGGTGATGATGATGGTGTCCCGATGATGATGATGTTGATGACGATGGTGGCGCTGATGATGATGATGGTGTCCAAATGATGATGAAGATGACGGTATTCAGATACCTGGTGATGCTGACAATGATGAGATGATCCTGAGATGATGATGATTATGATGATGCTGGTGTCCCGATAATGATCA